ATTATTTTTGTAAATTAGTTCTAAGTCGGAATTCAATCAATAAAGGATCCCTTAGCTCCCCAAAAAATGTATTTTTTTGTTTAAGTCAACCCGCGTTGACATAACTTATATATATATATCTCATGATCCACTGATCGGATTAACCAGATTAGTATGGGACCACCTCTGAGACACTACCTTTCCGATGCAAAAAGAATTATCGAAATCGGTTGACGTGGTCCAATGCGGTAACATACATAAAAAAATAAAAATAAAAATAAAAATAAAAATAAAAAATATTCCGACGAACTGTTCACCTCCTCCTTTTTTGGAAGTCGGTTAAAAAACTAGGCAATTGCTCTTTCTTAAAATTGTACATCTTTTGCTCGATGTCATAATTCAAATAAACTGAATAGAATTTCGCAGAAATTTTTAGGCATATGATTTTCCGCGATATTTGTCCATCATGCTCGATCCCCCAACTCATTTGATATGCATGTGATCATAGCGTGGGCACCAGTATTCTCTCAGAAATATATACAGTGCCGGACAAAAGTATTGGCACAGAGAATTTTTCGCAATATATGCAAAGTTTTTTATTATAATTTATTTTCAATATATTTTAATAAAAATATAGTTCGTACTTCATCAAAAAACATAAAAACAAAATCTCTAAACTTTGTGCAAAACTCAGGAAAATTCAATAAATTTGCATACTAATTTGCAACTTCCTATTCAGATTTTTTAGAGAAATTCTAAGTATGTAGTTTTATAGCCCAACTAATTTTAGTATAACAAAGTGCAAGGTTGAAGTATCTAAAAAATTGCGTTGATTTTTGGACATTTTTTTAATAGAAGGTGTTGCTCATTTTCTCCATACAAAAAATAATTGTCGAACATACTTTGTACGGAAGAACCTGACTGAAAAAAAATTGCCAAAAATCAAGGCGATTTTTTAGCACCTTCAAGCTTGCACTTTGTTATACTAAAATTAGTTGAGCTATAAAACTGCATATTTAGAATTTTTCTAAAAAATCTGAATAGAAAGTTGCAAATAAGCATGCAAATTTATTGAATTTTCCTGAGTTTTGCACAAAATTTAGAGATTTAGTTTTTATGTTTTTTGGTGTAGGACGAAATATATATTTATAAAAAATCATCGAAAATAAATTGGAATAAAAAACTGTTCAGATATTGTGAAAAATTCTCTGTGCCAATACTTTTGTCCGGCACTGTATATGCATACATACCAACAATTTCTTTTTCTTTTAATTTTCTCCTTTTACCAATATAAAACACCATTATGGGCCAGTTTTTTCAGTGCCACTTAAAACTCAGATTAAGTAAACTGAGTGTAAATTGAACAGCTGGCTGCTATTTGATGGCTGATCTTAGTTTAAACCAGCCAGATCGGGCGTTTAAAATT